AACTGCACCGAACCAAAAATTTCAGTTCGGTGCGGTTCGGTTTTTCGGTTAACCGAAATTTAAAAAAGATAACCACCAATTAATGTTATGTAAGTAAAATTGTAAAAATTAAGGTGATATTTTATTAAAAAAAATAAAAAAAAAGTGACATTTTATGATATTCGGTGCGGTTCGGTTAAAATCGCACCCTTCGGACAAAAAAACGAACCGCACCGAAATACTTGCGGTTTTTTAAAACCCAAACCGCACTGATAACCGAACTTACAAAAAACCGCACCGAATCGCTCGGTTCGGTGCGGTTTTTCAGTTTCGACTCAGTTTTGCTCACCCCTAGCCTGGCATTCGTGAATAGTTTTATTGCAACCGCTTTGTTCTTAAATGGCATTGTTATTCTATTTGTAAAAAAAATATTTATGTCCTAAGTGGTAGACTCGTACGTTTCATATTTTATGTGACAAAATTTTCTGCTTGATAATATGGCTAGACATTATTCGAAAAAAAAAAGCTTTGTATTATCTATAAACATATTAGATATTTATGACCCTTTTTATGAACATTAATTGTGTTTAATATCATTTTTTATTTTGAACGTGGTTTATAAGACATTATTTTTTTCCTCTTAATATATCATTTTTTCCCATTTCTTTTTCAATTATAACACACTTTACTAAGTTAAATTGTAAATATATATTAAATTAAAAGTTAACATTTGTATTTATTACTTGTTTTTCATACGTAATAAATTAAATTCATCATCTATTGATTAACTTTGATTTTACATCCATATTTATGTGATGTAAGTTACGAAAACACTATATATAATGTAGGATGAGCAAGTCGTTTCTATGAAGAATACCATTTTAAATAGAATTAATCATATATTTTTCAAAAAAGTATAAGTACTTAAAAATAGGTCTTTTTATTACTTTGAAAATTTAAGAATCTTTTTTTTTTTTTTAACAAACACCAGTGTACTACACGATATTGCACTAGTTGATTAATACACATTAATATTTATTATATTCAATTTCAAGTAATAGGTATATATAGTTAACGGTAAATAGATAATGGAAAATTACTCACGATTGGCCACAAAATTAAATATGATTGACCATATATTTTACGATGAACTCCAATAAAAAAAATGTTAGACAAACATTTTTTTTTTTTTTTTATTAAAGCATGTTCGTCAACCTATCGTAATCATATTAAGTTGTGTTTGACTAGCAGGTAAAATCTCATAATCTTTAAATCTCATGTCATTATTATCTTATTATTTTGTTACATAGATATATTAAATCGTGCTTGTTAGATCGAAATTGATGAATACACATAACAATTATCTTCCTCGCGTGTTAAAAAAAAAAAAGATTGTACCGAAAAAAAAAAAAGAATCAAA